TCGAGGGGATAGCTGAGGACATCCCTTCCTGCTCTTTGTCTTACGATCAGGTGTTGAATGCTTTGGTGGTTGATCTTTCGGTTTCTGCTGGTTTGTTTACTAGCAAATCAGCTGCTCGGCGGATGTTAAAACAAGGGGGCATATACTTGAACAATAGCAGAGTGGATAATGAAAGTAAGAAAATAGATGCGGAAGACATTGTAGATGGAAAAGTTCTACTACTATCCGCAGGCAAGAACAATAAGGTAATAGTGCGGATATCTTGATTTTATGTGGTGAATATTTGATAAATTGAAGGGAGAGTATTATTTATCACGGGATCCACAGGGATTTCAAGTGACAAATCTTGCAACTGTGATATTTTTAATTATATACACACATATATATATGTATTGGTAACAATCTTAGTTTGGGGAAAATAAGGAAATTGTATTTTTGAAGAAAAAAAATTGAAGAGATAAATAAATTTGTCTTGCTCAATCTACAATCTTGCCTATGCTCATAAGGGTTGCTTTATACGTTTACATGATTTATTGATTGATGTAAAATAATCAGCTTAATTACATTTCAGATCTTCGGCGATAACCATAAACAAAAAGTTTCATCAACCACTTCTGAGAATATGCAATTAAAAACTTAAATTTTCAATTTTTTTCATTGGCTTAATTTTGAAAGTTAAAATTAATTGTTTATATCATATCTATATACCGCAATAAAAATCTAAAGCCGTGGCAAACCAACTCAACAACTCGTACTTATGAATAAGTGGCAATTCTAAGAGGTCACAAGTTCATACATGAGAAAATCACATCCTATCTAAATCAGTCTTGCAGCTCACGAGTCAAAATGAACATCTAAGAAATGTAATTTTTCATGGAAGAAGAAATGCAGAAGGCTACAAGTCACCATCAAGAGTAACCTTCATCCTTTAGTTTGAATTCAACTGTCTCTAGCTGCATTGCGGAAGGAGAGAATGACAGATCCCAATGTAATGGAGAATGTGGCGGAGAACTCCACCGAGTTGAGCAAAGCCAATCAGAAAACTCAGACATGGAAAGTTCTTCTGGTTCATCAACAATGTAGTCATACTGCATAAAGGGAACCGATATATTATTTCAATGAAAAATGTTCAGGCTCTGAAGCTACCTTTTTTCGTCCAAGAGAAAAGTAAACCGTAGTGATACAAGTTTATAATTATCAGTTTTGTTCAACAAGATTTTCCATTCAGTCGAAACATTTAAATTAAACCATCAGACTTGGACAATGATCAGCTTTCTTCCAACAAAGGTTTCCACTCAGTTAAACTATTTCAGCAGAATGAGAGAGCAAGGAACTACCTTTTCCTCCACAGGCTTGGGATGTGAATCTGTGCAGAAGAAAAAAAAAAAGAACGCATAAAAACTGATCCAACAAATAGGGCATGTGATAGAAGTTGCAGAATCAAACAAATTAGCAGCAGTTAATCACACATGAGAAAGATGCATCAAAATATAAGATTAAGAAGTAGCTTCTGAAACATTTTGACAAATGGGATTTTGTAACTGATCTTTACCTATCCATCTCCCATAACTAAAATTCCAGCAACCTCATGTTTTCTTTAACTAGCAAAATCTTGCATGTTTTCTTTAGACAGATCCAAGGAATTTCTATTTACTTTTCTTTTGCATTTCTTAAGGAAACCTTAAGAACATAGCCAGTGAAAATGAATCCTTCAAGCTCCAAAGGTGATTTGAGTATTGAGGAGTGAGAAGGCTGTCAAGGTAAGGGTTTGTTCCTATAACAGTTCCCTTCTATCCATGTTAAACAGGAAAATATCTTTCCAGCTTTTGCGGTTCCTCTTAGATGAACAAATGAAATTCTGATGAAAAAGACATAAAATAAAAAGAGCAGTAAACCTCATAGAAAAGGTCAAAGAATGTTCCCAATTCTGGAACCTAGAGATATAGACTGAATTTCTCCCTTTCAGCCAATGACAAACTTGATTTTTAAAAGAAATGACAATCCTTGAGCAAAATTAATTAAGTGGGAAAAGTAAGAGTTTCTTCCACGCATGCACGCACAGGGATGTGTACGTGTATTGGGTTAAATATTACTCATATAGGAAAGACGTGTATGTATCTGTGTGTGTGCCCATGTAAGCATAATTTGACGTTTAGTTCCAAGTGTGTATATGTATTACCATGTCCTGGAAGAACAATGTCCAAGAAGGCATTCTTAGAAATTTGACGTTCCTCAGTGCACTTTCTGTGATCATGTAAAAATACTTCCTCAGCTGCATTAAACTTTTCCTTTGTAGACTTCTGTTTTCTTGAAACATTTCCTGTTTCATGACCAAGGCATGATTTGTTTGTAATATCATTGAGAGCTTTACGATTTCGAAGACTCTGTCCGTCTTTCTTTGTGGCTGCTTTAGAGCTTCTGTTGGTCCCGTCCAAACCAATCTCTGCAAAAGAGAAATTACCAAATTTACCAACAGTTTATTAGTTGAATGTGCAAGTAAGAAAACAGCTTCAAACTGTTCATTTCATTTTGTACATTGCAATCCATGGACACCAGTGTTTTCACTTTGAAAGTCTTTTCCTCACTAACTGCCCTTTACAGTGACTACTTATAACCATACCCCACACTCCCTTGAGGAAAATTAGGCCTTATAAAAGAGGCAAAGGACAATACTTTTGGGAGGAACACCGAAATTTTCATTTTGAGAAATCATCTGCCCCTGAGGGACCAGGTTTGCCATTGTTGCCTTCTCTTGTTCCAGAGACACCGAGTGCTAAAACTTGCAGCAGCAAGATTATTGTCTGCAAATAATTATTTACTGAAGAAAAAGGCTTCACTGCAATTCCAATAAAAAAAAACAAGTAACTTCAGTTATTAATTATCCATCTGTCAAAAACAATCAAGAATTGCACGATCATTGACCATCTAAAGAATTCACATAACAATCAGTAAAACTGATATAGCAAAAGAAAGCTGCTCAAAGCCATAAAAATTTCCCAGCAACAACAAAAAACCACCAGTTCAGACGCAGGTAAACATAGAGAAAAATCTCACAATAACCAATTACCACAAGTCTCCATTACATGGAGAGCAAAGAGCCATTTTCATCCCCATAATCATGGCTATCAGGCTAAATACTGGCATTATTATTAACTTAATTCTAACTCCAAGAATGGTTAATCACAGAAAATGGTGATATCGTTTCCTATCAGCAGGAATCAGAGTAAACAACACTATCCTCGGGCAATTTAACAACGAGAAAAGACCCGTACACAAATAAAATCCGAATACAAGATATCTAACTAGTTTTTATGAAATTTTTAAACCCTAAAGCAAAAAAACCAGCGCGTGCAATCTTACTAAAGACCCAATTAATTAAACAGAAAAGCAGATTAATGCACCGTTCAACCTAAATTTCGGTAAGATACCTTCATCTAGAGATCCTACAACGAACGGCAGAAAAGATCGAAGAAATATACCATGTACATTGATATCATAAGTATTTAATCTAGAAAAGAGTAAAAGATGAAATCGCAGAAATACAATCATGACAATTGATAAGTCGATGAAAGTCGATTGTTTCTGTTTCACCTCTTGAGAATCGGAGACGAGAAACGTTGAGCTGCTCCCAGGCTACAGAGTAGACTGTACATAGTCCAAAAACAATACGCCGTTGAGAGGCATATGGAAGGGAGGGAGGGAGGGAGGGAGGGAGGAAGGAAGAGGCGGCTTCGCTTCCAGTTTCAGAGTTTGTATAAAATTTTGAACAAAACTGCGTCGTTTTGTTATTTTAATTTTATTTTTTGCTTTATAAATTTCATGGAGAGAGAGAATAACTTAAACAATAAAAAGGGTAACATTTTGTTTAAGAGGTAATTAATATAGGCTTTGCGTAATTAAAATTTTTAATCCTTTTTTTCTTTCTAGAAATAATAGTAAAATTATTTGATTAATTAATTTTATTGATGAATTTAAACTTTTATTCAAAACTAATAAAAATATAACATTATATACCTACTGCACCCACAATGGAAAGAGTATTTCATTCAATTTAGATTGTAAATTAAAGTTTCTCCTAATAATTTGTAAAATATATTCTACAACATCCCATCTTATCGCAATAAACAAATTTTTCTCATAAATTATATATTCTGCAATTCGAAACTCAAAACTTTAAGAAAAGAGATATGAAAGAACGTATTTAATCATCCATCTAACGATAATTTATGTCATAAATATATTAATGACACTCCAAAAATTACCCATTTATAATTCTTTTGATCTCTAGGCTTTCAGACATCCATAAATGAAATGAAAACTCCTCGAAATGAAAAATTTTAATGTTACGAACTTAAATTTAATTCCACTTCCGTTTAATATCTATTCAATTTATAACTTCATTAATAAACTATTACGATCACAAGAGTTTTGACTCAGATTCTCCTTGCTCTTTTGATTTGCTCCTGAAACAGTTCACGGTGCATATAAAATTGAATTTAAAACAAAAAAAACATACTGCAAATCGAAGTTATGGCTTCTCTCGTTGCTCCCAAGCAGTTTTCTCCTGTTGAAGATGCAGAAAACATCAAGAAAGCTTGTCTAGGTTTCACTTCTTCCTTATCATGCTTAATTTTGTCTGTCCAAATCATTCAGCAGGACGTGTGTGTGTGTGTGTGTGCGCGCGTGTCTATCCAAATCTTATGCATTGTACATATATTTCAGGATGGGGAACCGACGAAAGGGCTATAATCTCAATACTAGGACATCGAAATGTATTCCAGAGGAAGCTTCTTAGGCTAGCTTATCAAGAGATTTATCAAGAGGATCTGATCCAGCAACTCAAGTCAGAACTTTCTGGTGATTTTGAGGTACGTTAAGGTTAAATTTGGTTTGATATTTCTTTGAAATAAGAAATAATAATACATGTAAGGAAAAGAAAAAAAAAAAGGAATAAACTTGATCAGCTATTTATTCAATTGAGGGAAAAAAACAGAGAGCAATATGCCACTGGACCTTGGATCCTGCTGATCGAGATGCAGTATTAGCCAATCTGGCATTACAGAAACCAGTCCCTGATTATAAGGTGATCGTCGAAATTACTTGTATTGCATCACCGGATGATCTCCTGGCAGTGAAACGAGCTTACAGATCTCGCTACAAGCGCTCCCTGGAAGAAGATGTGGCCTCTTACACCACAGCTGATATTCGAACAGTATGTATTTCTTTCCTAGTTTTCTAATACAGGTGACAATGAGACTTAAGCCCAATTCCAATACACTAAATGTATTAAACGTATCAACTAATAGCCAATCTAATTAGCACCCGCAGGCAACAACCTGTTAATATATGAATGCAGCCTGTAGCAACATTACAGTATAGGATTCGTACAACAAGAGAATGATGTAGAAGTAAATATTACATTCTATTTCGTTTAATGCACAAAGTACAAGATATAAGTTTTATTTTGCCAGATTATAAAATTCTATCCCAACTTCTAATGGTTAAAATTTATTTTTGCTGGTTTCAGCACAAACATTTATCCAGTAGTTAAACTTTTTCAGTACTGAACAGGATTATAGCAAAATTGGAATAGTACACTAACCAAACATTATGAAGTCTATGGTTCATGAGCTCATACCGGTGCTGCAATTCTCGTGTTTGGATGCAGCTTTTGGTTGCAGTAACAAGTGCTTACAGGTATGATGGCAGTGAAGTTGATGAAGCTGTGGCCCATGCAGAAGCTATTACGCTTCATGATGAAATCCAGAGGAACCCCTTGAAACATGAAGAGATTATCAGAGTCCTAGGCACAAGAAGCAAAGCCCAGCTTAATGCAACTTTCAACATTTATAAAGATATCTATGGCACTTCCATCACTAAGGTATATATATATATATAAAAGAAACATCTAATCTAGAATTACAACACACAAAATTATATTACAATTCTTGTCATTGATCCCTTCACATGTTGGATCACTTGTAGAATTTGTTGGGTGATCCTGGCAATGAATATCTAGCTGTGTTACGTACTGTTATCAGATGCATTAAAAATTCAAAGAAATATTTCGCAAAGGTATGATCTATGTTGCTGGAACTCCTTATTTTTAGCGTTATATACCCTGTTTCAGACACAACATGACATTAATGTTATTTTATGATTTTTGTCCCACACTCGACTAGCATGTCTAATTCTAAACATCATGCGTATGAAGATGGTCATCTAGAAATTATCAATGATTTAAAAATTGCACTTAACTTAGTTAAAGAATAGGTAAATTCTATTACAAGACAAAAAAATAACCTTACAAAATTCAAATGGGAATTCAGACACTACATATGAAATTCCATAAGAACTTTTCCAAATAGGTAAGATATTGTATACGAAATCAATTTTTATGACTTTATGAACATGTTCAACATCCTTAGTTGAATTAAGTGCAAATTTATAACTACATTTCTCCTAAATTTCTAGATTTATTTCATAATATAACCTGAATATTTGATCAGTTAATATAATAATCAGCATCATTTTTACTAGAAACATGAATATGCTATCTTTTTCATAGGTTTTGCGCAATGCAATTAATACAGTGGGGACCGATGAGGATGCTCTCAGTCGCGTGATTGTCACACGTGCTGAGAAAGATCTGAAGGACATCATGGAGCTGTACTTGAAGAGAAACAATATAAGTCTTGAGCAAGCAGTGGCCAGAGACACTTCAGGGGACTACAAAGCATTCCTTCTAGCATTATTAGGGAGTGAAGAGAATTAGATGGTTTCAGTGACTGATCAGAGAGCTGGTATTGAACCAGTTGATTAGTGGTACGTACTCTTAAATTATAGATCTTTACGAATAGATAGACATTCAATAGAAGCATGAATCTCTTTTTTGATGGTATCAGGAAGTGTTCAAAGCATTGAAGAAGAAAGAGCTTTCAAAGTGAGTAGGCTGCTGAGACCATCATCTATGTTTAAACAACTCTTTAAGAATAAAAACATGATGAACTCTACCATATTGAACTCATAATATTTTCCGGGAAAATTACACGAAAGTAACTTGTATTTTAGCTAGTGTCTCGTGAATATTTATTTTCAATTGTATCTTTTTGAGACTGAACTGTTTTATTCTCCCAGAAAGTAAACAGAAACGATTTATATGTCTAGGAGGAAGCAATATTTTCCAAGTTTCCCTTACCTCACCCACAGCATTTTCTCTCCATGACTCTCTCTGCTCTCCTTCTCCTTTTCCCCAACCATTTCAAAACTTGAAATGGCAACTCTAACTGAAATCTCAATAATTCATTTGTATTTGTCTCAATACGTTATTGTACTACAAGAATTCTTGCACATCTCTGTCTGGTTTTCTTTTCCGACCTTATCGTGCCAGCTAAACAAGTTGCCCAGAGTCCTATTAGAAACTTCAACAAGCAATGAAGTTTCCAAGGAAAAGGTTCAGGATCATACCCAAAGTTACCTTAAACAAGAACCAACGGCGCAATTTTCCATCAAAAACCCAAAAGAATAACGATACGAAACACAAAGCTAGGTTTTAAACACTAAATTTCACCACAGATTCCGATTGAAAGAAGACAGTTACGAGCCAATTGGAAAACCCGAAGAGAAAGGACGTTTCCATATCCAAAAAGAACTGAAATCTTTTGACTAAAACCTAATCCTAAACAACTTAGAGAACACAGGAGAAAGAGAATTCTATCCACGGTGAGACTCCCGAGTAAAAGAATCATCGCGATAGAATCCTATCCATGGTGAGACTCACCTGTAATTCCGAGCAAAAGAATCCATATATTTTGAACTGCTAAGCACGAGTCAGCTCCTCTTCCCGCACCATTAACTCTCCCAAGCTCTCTCTTTGACCATCTCCCGTCTCCCGTCCCTGTGGATTCGGTACCGTTCATTAATTTTTATTTGGGTTTCCCGCTCTTTATCTTCACATTTTATATTACACTAATTTGAAATTTATTATTAATTTAAATTATGAATTTCATGTAAAAGTTTAAGTTATTAAATTTAAAAATAAATTATGACAGTTTAAGGAATGCATACATTGAAAAGTAATTTAAATATTTAATAACATCAGAAATTAATTTAATTCTGAAAATTAAAACTCACAATTTTTTCTAAATATAAGAATTTATTTACAAATATTTTCACATTATATAAAACATATTTTATTTTTGGTCCAGCCTTCCTTTAATTACTTTATTAATGTTTAGGTTTTAATTCAGTTCAAAAATTTTAACCTTTTACACAACCGAATTAAACGCCCAACTAAATTAATAACCATGCCATTTCCCAACGCATCTCTCTGACTTTGCCAAGAAAGACTGCTGCATGAGCAAAACATGCCCTTTCAGTCAGACACGGTAAATTCTTGTGTTCTTTTTTTTTTTTTTACCTTTGACCAAACCCCAAATTACTGTACAGTTTTAACCCTCTCAAATTAATTACTATTATTTATCTGGATTAATCGAATTTAGTGTTTGATTTTAAATTTATTATATAAATTTATATCTATAAATTACTCTACATAAAAAAAATTATAAAATTAATCGAATCCAATACGGTTAACGATATATTAAATTCTAATACTTATTTTATGTGTAAAAATTAAATTCGTAATTTTTAATTTTGTGAATGATTAAATTAAAATTATAAAAAAAATTTAAAGCAGAATTTATTTATAAATAGATGGTTATGATTCTAAAATTACATATAAGATTTTTTAATTATGATATTTTATTATCAAAAATTGAGAGAGTGTAAAAACTTAAAAATATTACGTATTAATTTAAAATATTTATTTTATGTTAATTTAAGTATTATTTTCGTTACTTAAATTTATTTACTATTTATTTTGCTTTAATTTGATTCTAACATTTAGTTGCATGTAGTAATTAAAACTTGATGTCCAAAAGATAAATTGGAATTTATCCACACATTTTGAAGATTATTATATTATTAATTGCGGTAAAAAAAAAAAAATTACCGGATGATTTTATCTCTAAAAATTGACCACGTACAAATGCAAAAAACAAAAAAAATGTGCTTTACCCAAAAAATAAAGAAAATAAGACTCGCACTAAATATCGTGAGATAGGATAGCCAATGAGAAGACGACACGTCTCCACTTCCAGACCTGGTCAGTCGTCCCTGTCCCTGACGCGCGTGCGTCCACTTGCCTCACACCTACTCAGTTATTGTTGCAGATTGCAGACTCGTAGTAGATCATACACCCTCGATTCTCAAACACCATGAACGGTGTTTCTTTTTTCTTCTCTTGCAGGTCTCCTTTTTTTTTTCCCCCCACAGTAAAACTCATCATTTTACAACCTGAGCAGAGTTCTTTGACTGAATCTTGGGCGAACTTCTACGTGTTCTTGACTAATTAAAAATAAAAAAATACTCTCCGCAATATCTTTCGAATAAACCCTAGTACTTAACTGTTTCTTTCTTGAAAGATTTTCTTTTCATTTATTAGTTCATATATATAATATATATATATATATCTATAATACTCATCTGTTTACTGGATTATGATCACGTCATGTGTCCTCTCCCCCCGCTAAGTATCTATATATAGTTCGACATGGCATTCCATATCAATAAAATATTACTCTATCTATCCCTCACAACATTGTATAACATTCCAGGTTCTAAATCAAGCAAGGTTTTATATATATATATATACACGTATAATCCCAGTTTCAATGTTATATCATACATGAAGCAAGCAGTAGGAGAGAATTCATCACCACCAGTTTAGTGGTTAAATTCTCATTTCGCTTAAAGGATTACAAGTTTGAACATTCTCGATTCGTATAATTTTTGAAATGCCACAATTTATTGTTCTAAAAGAACAGTAAGGATATATTATACTTGATTAAGAGGAATTCAGAAATTAATTATTTATTCCTACAGGGCATAACATATCTTAAAACCCACCTATGTTTTTTTTTTAATTTTAAAAAATATTTTGTTATAAATCTTCAATTTTTGTACTTTCAAAAAATTGTGGAATCACAATGTGTTTTTAATGGTACTTATGATTGCAGTATGTGCAGATACATACATATATATATTTACAAGAAAAAGAAAAAAAAAAAAAAAAGCATCCTCAATCACTGCATGCGCGCTGACTTTTACTTGGAAGTTCAAGAACAGATTGGAAGCCACTAGTGAGTTCAAACAAGGCAAGAGAAGCTATCTGTGTTGAACACGGACAAGATAGGTCAGTAGCCAGTACACGAAACAGCAGACAGCTAGCAGAGGCTCTAGTCTTCCATGATCGATAGACAGTTTCAATCAGTCAGACCACCATTGCATCGGAGATGGTAATGGGTCCTTCCCGAGGGTAGCTCACCCTGACATTCAATCTCATCTGAACAAAATAACTGGCACTCCTCTCGTCTTTTCATTGACGAAGAACCAAGAAAAAGCTTTTGAATTGAACAAGTTTTAATCTACCCAACCATTCATGATTCAGCCATTGGCGAAGGAAAAAGCAATTATACGCATATATATATATAAATTTATATATATAGATATCAGAAGGGAAGTATTCTTTATAATATTGAAAAGAGAACACAAGAAAGAAAAAATTAAAAACGCATAATGATTTTTGCTTTCTAAAACTCCATTCTCACTAAAAAAACGATCCGATAATATGAACCTAATTAAAAGGGAAAAAGTGAAGGTGATTAGGTATGGATAATCTGCACACGTAATATTCTTTCCTTATCGATCTTAGTAAGGAGAACGGGATGTTGGGCACCAAGACATAACATCCAGAGCCGGCAGCTGGCAGTTTAACGTGCTAGGGCTCGCCGCCGCACCATAAGCCGATCCAGTATGCGAGCTCGACTCACCGCCAACCCCAGCAAGACCGCCGCCGCCATGATGAACACCGCTACTAGGGTTAGCGTCTTGATGATAATAATGATTGGCTTCAATATAATCACCCCGCCCGGAAGTTGCTGTCTCCAATTGCAGCTTCTGGTAAGGACAGGATTGGAAGGTGGCGGCAACAACCGTTACCTTACTAGCAGCAGTGAGGTTGCCGACCACTATTCCGCCGAATACCTGACCTTGAGCACCAGCGATTGTTAACCCAAACGACGACTCGGAAGGCTGGGAAGAAGAAGCCATTGGCATCATCGCAGTACTTCCGGACTCCGACGAAGTGACAACAGAACCGAGAACTGATCCAGTGAGCGAGAGGATGCTGAATGGTCCACGGAGAGAAATTGTTGGCGCGTGAGACACTGGGTGGCGAATCGTGATGTTGGAGACGGACCCGGACGCGCTCAGTACGCTAAAGCCCGCGATTTGATGTCTGCGAGCGAAGGATGTGATGGTCTCGATGATGTCGGAACCGACAGAGATCTCGAGCACGATGGGGCTGAGAGCCACGTCACCGTCACGGGTTATGATGACGGGTAGCTTGGGTTTATTTTTCGACCCGGGTGGCCTTCCTCTCGGTTTGCGAGCAGCGTCGGTTGTGGCCGGCTGAATTTGCGGTGGCAGTGGGTGGTCAGGGACGGTGAGGGTGAGGTCGCCTGGCCGGGAAAACGACGAACCACTGCCGCTGGCGCAGCCAGTGGAGAGGGTGGGAAGAGTCGGTGGACTGTGTTCAGACGAGGAGTCATCGGAGGTTTGTTGAAGTTTGTAGAGGGAGATAGACGTACCAAAATCCGCCATTGCTGGGAGCGTACAGTAGCTTCAAAGGCCTAGAAGACAAGCACGATTTATTCAACTCTATAATCTGCCGCAGAGAAGGAGAGGGAGATAACAAAGAGTAACAGTAAGAAGTTGTTTTTTTAAGGGTTTTTCCATTATAAGTCTGAGTTTTGACCGGTGGGTCCCACGTGTGGACCCACCGTCTCGTATCACTACAGTGGACGATGAACGTGTGCAGGAGAAATAGGTGTGGAACAGAAACTCTCCTCCTTGTAGAAGTCAGTTTACCGGAATATGGGCCCCGCGACCTCCTACGACTTCCCCTATAAGAATTTTTTTTCCAAGATTGGCAGGAAATTAGATTTTTATCCTCATATATGTAGATTATAATTTTCATAATTTTTTTTTTATTAATTATAAGATAAAAATTTTAATATGATATTTCTGCTTAATTAATGTTAATTTTAAGTGTAATGTTTAGTTACGATCAATTAATTTTTCAATTAAATATATTTCGTTCTATATAATTTTAACTTAGTCATATAGTCCATACAGTTTCTAGGTCTAATTTAAATCTTTTATATTCTAATTCAATTTATCAATCTTAATTATTCAATATATAAGAATTAATCATAATTTGTACATTTGAATGTACAATAAATCAAATAAATTTATAGTTTTAATTTCACAAAGATAAGTTTATATTGTAATATATCAATAAAAATTAATTCAAATTAGATGATAAACCGAGTTAAAATTATAACAACTATTTTTATTTAAAATTTTATTATATTTATATTTTTTTCGTATTAAAAAATGAAAATGAAATAAAATTCAACTATTTTATAACTTAGGTTTTAAAGGGGTGCCATAAGTAGGCCATGCAATTTAGGCTTTAGATTAATTTACCCAATGAATTACATTACAATTTCATAGTCTTAGACACGGCCCAAAAGGACCCACTAGGAGCCGGGCCGCTATATACTTTGGACCGAGTAGGAATTCAATAAATAAATACATAAATTTGTACATTTATTTATTACGTCAAAAATTCACGAGGGATCAAATAACATATATTAAATTTGTACGTACAAATGTATAATATATAATTTTATTATAAAGAAAAAACCCACAAAATTTTAAATTAAGAAATCCCAAATGCGACATGGTAAAATTGAAATATATTTTTTACTTAATTGGGTTAAAAACATTTACTTATGGGGTAAAAAAAAAAAAAGTAATGATGTGTCCGAAAATACATGTAGTGGCTAGAGAGAAGTCGATTTCAGTAATAAATAAGAAGGTCACGTCATGTAGTCAGAATTTTGGTTCCATAGGACAAATGTCGTGGTTCAAGTGGGCAAATAACATCCCACGACCCGACCAGTCAAACAACCTAATATCTCATATGAAACATGCACCCACCACACAATTATATATATATTTATATTATATTATATTATATCTACACTATTTATTTTCATTTTCTCAGGACGAAAATTGGGTTTCTTTCACATCAATTTCCATAAATTTTTCTTTTTTTTAAAAAAAAAAAAATCATTTTCGATTAATTATTTTTATATGGAATTATGGGAATTTATTTTTAAAAAAATTAAATTAATCATATTTGATAAATATTTAGGTTTTTTATTGTTGTAAATAATAATTTAAACATATAAAATTTGAACTTTTATATAAAAAATATGTCTTTAACATTATGCCTAAAAAAAAGTACTTAAAAATAACAAGGGAAGAAAATTATTATTAAAATTCATTTAAAAAATTAACCTAATTAATAAAATTTCATTTAAAAATAAAAAAATATTAAGACGGATGAACATATCATCGCAGTCTTTCAAATCCCATCAATCGAGTCACTTTTTTCATGTATGTTTCTTACACACATACATACATATATATATATATTTGTATATGTATGTGTGTACATATGTATGGGATTCCAGATCGCCTGTAACCTTGAATGTAAAAAGAATGGAGCCTTGAACATAAATTCTATGTTTGTATGTATAAATAATATACATGCTCCACGGAAAGAGAAACTTTGTTATGAATGTAATCGTGTGTGTGTGTATAAAAACAATAATAATAATGACGGAGTTCTACCGGTGTTAATTTGTAGAAAGAGATCAAACGTTAATTTATTGAGGAAGAAGACGACTACTGCAACAAAACGCAAAAACTGAACCAAAAAACTGAACAAAACGCATAGTAGAATTAGAAAAAGTGAAGTACTGGAATTACTTGGAGGAAATTACGCCAACCTGCAACTAAACTAAAACTTCCGGCAACTACTTCAAGACAAAACGACGCCGGACGGACCATGAAATAATCTCCCATGACGAGATCTAATCGGTCTTCTGATTTCATCGTCAAGAAGCTTTGCTTGCAGGAGGCAACTTCTCCGGAGGAGCTGCCCCAAAATGAGGAGCCAACGGCTGGGTGGTGCTGCTGCCGCCTGGATTGCTAGCTGGTGGCTGATGAGTTCTGAGAGCGGCCGAGGTGGACGCTGCACCAGCCCCACCGGCTGTTTCTTGGCTGCTCTCTGCCGGTGGTCTCGGTGGCGGCGGATCCTCCAACCCCAGTAGGTCCGGCGGCAGGACTCGGGAGGCTTGGCGTCTGTGGCGAGACATGGCTACTACCTACCAATATCTACCTACTGCTCTACCTGTAAACATATATGTACATACACACACACACACATATACATATATAATATATATATATATATGTAGATTGTATGCCCATTTTTAAAGCGTGCGACCAAGTCCATATTATTTCATTTATGTTAAATAATAAACTTCAAAATTAGTGGTTTAGGTTGACATGAAAGTACAGTTAATTTTATTTTAATTATTTTAAATATATATATATATTTCAACCCGTAATTTTAAAATGATAATAAAAATATAATTTTATGTACATAAATTTATAAAAAATTATCAATAAAATAAAAAATTATTCGAATTTAATCATTATAATTCTTTTTTTTTATTTTTTTAAATTTGTAATAGATAATAATAAAATACTTATATTTTAAAAAATAAATTCCGTATAATATTATGGAATTTATTTTAATTTTTGTCATTGAAAATAAATCTATCTTTGAAATGAATCTATTTGCAATTAAAGTTAGAAGTCGACCACATAATATACTTAAGATAAAACATTTAAACATGTATGTATATTTTTATATTATATTTGTTAATTACCAATATATTTTTCTTAGACACAAATTAAACACCTCATATACAAATATATGCATATATATATATATATATATATAGTGTGTGTGTGTGCGTGCTTAATTATTGATATTTGACTGACATTTATAAGCAGAGGTTGCTTTCTGCATGTATATAATATTTTATTGACGAATTAATTTGTTGATATTTCCATAATGCATTATTGATGCTTTTTTTTTTTTTATATAGTAAAAAAAATTATGTCGACTCATAATTAAAAGAACTTAATGATAATAATTAATTTTTAATTATAATTTAGTAATTATTAATAATATATATAAAAAAATTAATGTTTTTCTTTTCTCTCTTGCCCGCTGTTTGGTTACCTAATGAATTAAGAGTCAAAAAGCTAGAAAATGAAAGCACAAAATCTTTATTGATTTTCTTCATCCAATTTTCAAAATTATATACCAAACAATACTTTTGCTGCCTTCCATAGACCATAATCGGTAATGTTTAAATAAAATAATTAAATTTATGTTATTTGGAAATTGTTTTTTTTTTTTTTAAAAAAAAATATATAGTAAATTCTAATCTTATCATACATTATATAAGACTGTAGTTATTACACCTTAAACTCCTTAACAGTGATAATTTAATTTCTAATTTTTGAAATTGTGATTGAATTTTTTTTCACTACTGAGAGAAATTGAAGGGTGGAGATGATTAATGCAATAAATTATAGATTATATATAGAGATTAAGATGTTTTTATTTTAATCTACAGATTATGCATCTAAATAATCATACTTTGTCAGTCAGTACACCAACCCTTCACCACCCTTACCGGCATTGCACAACTTTCTCGTACAATCAACTGGGTTGTTCCAACCTCCGTTTCTTCCATGGTATTAATCAATCCCACCTCTGCAGAATATCCACTGGGTTAACAAGAGATCAAATTAAGCTCAAACAAAAATGGAAGATGACACTGTACTTCTCTTCTCCAACTCCAATTCCCCTGATCAAGAATCCGCCACTCATTCTTCTTCTTCTTTTTCTTCTTCTTCTTCTTCTTCCTTCCGCCACTCCCCACGACATTCAAATAACCCTTCAAAACCATCTTACGTGCTCACTGTTACAGGTCTCTCCTACACAATTCACCCTCCTCCCACATCATTTTTTCAGTTGCCGCGCAAGCCTAAGCCTGTCAACGTTCTCAGATCAGTCTCTTTCGTTGCCAGAAGCTCTGAAATCTTGGCCGTTGTTGGCCCGAGTGGCACAGGAAAATCAAGTCTTCTCAGGATAATCTCCGGCAGAGTAAAAGACAGCGAATTCGATGCCAGTGCTATCTCCATCAATCGTCATAAGGTGACAAGTCCTGCTCATTTGAGAAAGATATGTGGATTTGTAGCACAAGAAGATGACTTACTTCCTTTGCTCACTGTGAAGGAAACTCTGATGTATGGTGCAAAGTTCAGGCTCAAAGAAATCAGCTCAAAAGAGAAAGAAGAGAGAGTAGAGAGATTGATACAAGAGCTTGGCCTTACCCATGTTGCTGATAGCTTTGTTGGAGATGAAGAGAACAGAGGCATCTCAGGTGGAGAAAAGAAAAGGGTTTCCATTGCCATTGATATGATTCAGGAACCTCCATTGTTAGTCTTGGATGAACCAACTTCAGGCCTTGACAGCACCTCTGCACTTCAGGTGATTGAGCTATTAGCTTCAATGGCAAAAACAAAGCAAACAACTGTAGTGTTATCTATTCACCAACCAAGCTATAGAATTCTTGGTTATATCTCTGAATTCTTGATTCTGTCTGGCGGGTCAGTTGTCTTTAATGGTAGCCTTGAGTTGCTTGAAGAAACTATTTGTAATCTGGGTTTTCAGATTCCACAGCAACTGAATGCACTAGAGTTCGCCATGGAAATTATAGGCTCACTGGATAATTCAAAACCCCAAAATCACATCTCTAGCATAAAAGAAGAAGATTCCTCATTGACTTGGCCAGAAGAAGGATTCCATGGACTACAACTTCAACGAGAAAAAGAACAGAGTAATATTAATAAACACCTGGTGTGCAGTTCATGGATTTTAAGCCTAGTTGAGATAATATTCCTCTGTTCAAGATTTTGGAAGATAATTTACCGAACAAAGCAGCTTTTCCTGGCAAGAACGATGCAAGCACTCGTCGGCGGCTTCGGGTTAGGAAGCGTTTACATAAAAGTAAAGAAAGACGAAGCAGGAGTTGCAGAGAGATTAGGTCTGTTCGCATTCAGTCTCAGCTTCCTCCTCTCTTCCACAGTCGAAGCTCTACCAATCTACCTCCAAGAGCGTCGTGTCTTAATGAAAGAAGCCTCAAGAGGAGCCTACAGAATATCATCTTACATAATCGCCAACACCCTCATCTTCCTCCCCTTCCTCTTCGTCGTTGCCGTCCTCTTCGCCCTTCCAGTCTACTGGATCGTCGGGCTCAACCCTTCAATCTCCGCTTTCCTCTTTTTCACCTTCGTCGTCTGGCTCATCGTGATGATGGCAAGCTCTGTTGTCCTCTTCTTGAGTGCAGTATCTCCAGACTTCATTTCTGGAAATTCTCTTATATGCACAGTTCTCGGCGCCTTCTTCCTCTTCTCCGGCTACTTCATCCCCAAGGAGAACATACCCAAGCACTGGCTTTTCATGTACTACGTCTCGCTTTACAGGTACCCATTGGAGTGTTTGATCACCAATGAGTACTGGAGCTTGAAAGATGAGTGCTTTTCATGGCGGGATTCGAGGTGTTTGCTGACGGGAAACGACGTTTTGAAGAGCAGAGGATTAGACAGGGATAATAGGTGGATGAATGTTGGGATCATGTTTGGTTTCTTCGTGTTCTACCGGGTTCTCTGTTGGGTCATTCTTGCTCGAAACGTTTCGAGAACAACAATATAACAGTACGGAATTATGTATGTAGATTACCCATCCACAACCTTATAAAAATCTTATGTTCGTATTCACAAGAATGTAAATTACATGCAAAATGACAGCCTGCTGAGAAGATATTGACGTCAGAATGGGTCAATAAATTTAATTTTTACGATAAAATTATTAATTATGTAATATATATATACATCAATCATAATAAATATAAATAATTTTTAAATAAAAATATAATCAAACAAATTATTTTTTATAAAAAAAAATATTACATCGGTGAATAGAATTATAATTTGAACAAATTTTGAAATTTTGGGCTTAGGTTATTTGTTGGGTTGAGTTATTATTGGATGTGAAAAACATAAATATATTATCTATTTTTAAATCGTAGTTCATAATAAGATAATATTAAAAAATAATTTAAATGACACATATAATACATAAATATATTATTTATTAAATATTATTAATTTATAATACATTCATAAATTAAAGAATTAAAATTTATAACTTTAAATTAAAATATAATTATTTTAACTAGTAATTATTAGTACTATAAAAGAATTTTAACACCATTATTAACCGGGAAAACACAGCTACAAAAATCCAAAGTACATATTTTTTAATTTTTATGAGAAAAATAATGCTAAAATGACTCAATTCCCTCATCTATATATATATATATATATACACACGCACGTGTGTGTGTGTGTGTGTATGTATATATATATTTTGTGACGCAATCCTTTGATCTGTTTATTAGAACTTTGGTAATACATCATCCATTAGAATTGGGACAGGTGGAAGCAAAATTTTGAGACAAAAGTGGTCCCGTCGTTTTTGATTAGAGAACGGAGATTGTTGCTACAATCAGCGCAGGCTCAATCGCTGGATTAAAGACCCAACACGCACAGCGTGAGAGCCCAAAAGTGTCAGCATAAATTTTATCGAGAAAAATTTTCTCGGAAATTTCCTTCTTGTATCGTCGATTCGTGTTGCAGCTGGTGTGTTGATTGACGGCAAGAAGTAAGCATTTGTCTACTGTCTTTTTATTTATACGCTTCTCTTTATTATGAGCTTTTCCGATCTTGATTGGTCCTTCATGGAGCAAATTAAGGCTGATATCTGAAAGAGGAGATTAACAAAGCATTGCAAGTTTTTCCACTGTGTTCGCGAATCCTGGATTTCAAATTTCCTATGGAACTGGAAGGGGATTTATATATTTTACATGTTTTGAACCTTATACTTACTAAAATTTTATTGTAATTTTAATTTCTCTGGAAGTATTATAGCTATTTCTCAGAAACCTAACTAGGTTTTAAGCTATATCAGCATTTTTTTTTTAATTCAGTATTGTATCCAGTTGGGGTTATTACCTATGATGCTGAAGCCTGTGGTTTAAAATAAAAAAATTTAGGGAAATATAAACTTTGTAAGGATATTATGCTTTTAATGGTTACATGAATTAACTTTCGTTTCGTTCAAATAAATTTATTATTTGCCTTAAGTTTTAACATCCAATTTATTGGGGATACTAATGGATGATCACTGGGGAACTTGTCAAGCTAGTTGTTATTGGATGTGGATAACTGCAGCTTGTATTCGTCATATGTGAAGAATGAAGTAGTTATGTCACATTGATGATGGCAGGTTTAAACAAGTGATTCTTGGGTGGCTAGCCTCTTTAAATATGTTTACATCTTGTATTGCTTAAATATGAACTTTGGGCTTCTCAGCTGTCCATGGTTCGGTAGTCATTCAAGGAAGAATTTAGCAATGGGAGCAACCATTGTATCCAGTGGAACTGTTATCGAACAACCAGAAGTGCAAAAAGGTGGTTTTGGCATCAAGATATGGACATGGTCCCTCCTTTCACTTGTTCCTTGGGCCATCAATGCTAAAGATAAAATTCGAAGGCCAACCACCATAAACAGACGGTTGAAAAGGCATGCCCAGTCACAGTATATAGCAGAGTCTGGTGATATGGGCTCCTCAGTGCGCTTTAGACCATATGTGTCGAAGGTCCCATGGCATACTGGCGCAAGAGCTGTTCTTTCTCAGTTATTTCCACGATATGGGCACTATTGTGGACCTAATTGGTCTAGTGGGAAGGATCGTGGGTCTCTACTTTGGGACAGGAGACCAACTGACTGGTTAGACTTTTGCTGTTATTGTCATGATATTGGTTATGACACTCATGATCAGGCGGAGCTGCTCAAAGCTGACTTGGCATTTCTTGAGTGCTTGGAGCGGCCACATATGAGCACAAAAGGAGATACTCATGTTGCTCATGTTTATAAGACAATGTGCATAGCAGGTATGCCTATAATTCACTACCTTAGTAGATTTTTTTTTTTCTTTTTCCAATCATTTCTGTTCCTAGGTGAAATGAGGATTGTTATAAGTTTTGTCTCTTTGTTTATTTTTCCGAATGGCAGGTCTCAAGAACGTATTAATACCATATAGAAGGCACCTTCTGAAGTTGCAATCTGGGCAACCTTTAATGGATTTTGCATGGCTGAGTACTGTGAAAAGGAGAACTTGGAATTTTCAGAAAACTTAAAAGTGGAAGATGAGTTCTGGAAAGAGTGAAGGACAGTGTTTCTTGTGTACCCCAATTTGGAATTGGAAGAGATGGTTCTTGAAGGAGTATTCTTTCTCTCACTTTATGTTCCATTTCTGCTGAAGCTTTCCTGCCACAATTTTGAAGCTGTTTAGGATAGTGGTTGCTCCATAGAAATGTATCTAAATGCTTATCTAATATCTCTCCAGAAGTCATCAGATGTAAATAGGTACTGCCTCAGTATGAGTGTTTAGCATTGGTTTCATAATTATATATCTGAGGACTCTGCTGACTGTTTATATTTATGGAATCTGGTCTTTCATTGCAATTATCTTGACAAGAAATACTAAACTTTTGAATCCTTGACGATCCATCAATTATGATGCTTATATAATAGTCCAAAAATGTGACATTTCAATTGAGTGACAACTTAGAACAACCAAACATTTCATATATGATTGATTTGATCCATGGATGCACCCTTTCATTCACCAGTACTATCACAGCAAAGAATGTGCCCTTATGTTTAGCATTGAAGTTCATCAAACTAGATTTCTTGTTTTTTTCCCTTCTTGCCATTCTCTGCGACCTGGAGGTGTTTGTCTTGTTTCAGAAGGTAGATGGATTGTCCCTCAATGGGGTCATTGGGATTACCTGTGTTGCTCTTGTCTTTGTTATTTCTGAAAATCTCCATTTCGCAGTCTACTTGATTCCCCTTTGGGAATTACTTTATACTGAAATTATAACTATTTCCCTCTTTGAAAGAAAACTGAACATACAAATATAACCAGCACAATAATGTTTCGGTATAAATTTTCATCTTGAGGGTTGGAAGAGCTATTTGCCAACTGACTATTGGAAGTGGCTTACAGGTATTCCTTTATGTTCCAGTTCCTGAACTTAACAGAGTAAGAAAGATATCTAGTCATATGCATATTGCATTGATGTATCTGTGACCTAGTTAAGGGTTATGCGAACTTTTACAGGAGCAGCTTTCAATTCACCGAGTAATAGAAAGTTGTATTGGCCTCGCATGTTGATGAAGCAGATGAGATGAGAAGCTGAACTCACTTATGTTTATTCTTAAGTATTTTCTGTGGAATGAGAAGGCTATACTGCTCTCAGTTCTGTCTCTAACTCTGCTAAAAGTAATACTCTTTTCTCTCTCTCTCTCTCTCTCTCTCTCTCTATATATATATATATATATTTATATACATAATACAGATATATATATACACTTCATTTTTGCTCCATTGCTTCTACTGATTTAAGTTCATTTGCAAGGTCATTTTTATTAGAATTTTCATATTTTAATTACGTATGAATTTCTAGTGAATTTTCTAAAACTGTTTGTTCCAAACATAATCTTAGAAAACAGCAGGCCCTTCCCCTAGTGAGCCTGCTGCTAATGGTGGCAATGGAGCATCTAGCAGGGAAGATGGATGGGATCGTAGCTTGTGGGGAGCTGGGGGGGATTTGGACAATTATTATGCAAATGGTTTCAGAGAAATGAGGTTGTATGATAGTATAAAATTAAAATGTTCACACCCATGATTTGGTAAAAACTATCTTCTTTTTTTCTTATCTGTAGTGGAAGGCGGTAACACTACCATCACATAAAAATCCTCTTCTCATCTTGCTTGTCTTCTCTGCGGTGAAGCTTGATATGATTATTTTAAGTCAGTGGTTGGTGAAAAATCTTGTAAGTCACTCACTGCAGAGATTTTTCCTCCTTTATTTTCATGCAAATAGTGTTTACATATGGTCAATTGTTTGTTGTAAGTCTTGAAATAGTCCCGTCGTTCACAAGTTTTTTGGTCATCGAGATAGAGCATGGAGATCTCGGTACAGTCAAAAGCAAGTAATATTATTTGAAGATTGAATTACTATGTTTTGATAGTGATCATCTTTTCGGTGCAGGTCGAAATTCTTGCAACTCATGGTTTCCTGGGTTTTTTCAGTTCATTACGAGAATGATTTCTTCTGGGTACAGTTTTTATTCTAGTCTATATTTTGTGATGATTAGATAAAGAAATTAGTGACACAATACAAATTATATATACTTTTAAGAAATTCATACTAATATTAGAGTATTGGTGGCAACTGTGGGAGATGCCGATCATAGTAGTAGCAATGATACAATGGCGGTACCCGAGTCGGCAACAACGGTAGTAGAGAAAAGATAGATTATAACAGTAAAAACGAAAATATTTTAAATTAATTCCAATAACCATATACCAGTTGAAAGTAAACATGTCAACAACACTAGATAGAATGTGTATAATTTTTTTTTTTTTTTAATAGAAAATATTCATTATTTTGAAAACAATATAAGTAAGTAATTATATATATATATTTATAAAAATGTAAATTAAATTAGTTAATAGTGTGCTAAATGAGTTTGATTTTATATAATTTAAACGTCTCTAAATTCGAACTCAAAATGTGACTTCCTTATTAAATAAATTAAATTCACAGTCTAAAATTATTGAAACTGATGTTCCGGCTTAGTCAAAGAAAAATTAAAATTCAAAAGATTTACTTGGTGTTTTGTAATTAAGTCTTTTTAATTCGTTATAATTATTTTTAATTAATACATTTAAACTTAATTTAATTACTGCGTTCGTACCATCATAAAAATTAAATAAATTAACATAAATTGATCAGGCAAATTACTTCACAGAAACGGAAAAAAAAGAATATTTCAATTCGTACGGGAACAAGAGTGAACACATCAGCTGCCTCCACCAAGTCACACGTTGATGATACTCTTCATTGCCATGGTCAAACCTCTGTTTCTTGCCCAAAAAACTAAATAAATAAAGAACACTCAAAGTCTCTTCTAAATCTCTCTCGACTAATTCCTTTCATCCCACTCTTTCCAGGTACTTTGCTTTTCTCATTTCTTCCTGCAATCTATAAGACACTCTGCTTCCACCTTCATGTCAGCTTATTTTCTGATCTGTGTTTTTTTTTTTTTTTTTAATTTTTTTATTCGAACTTCTCTCTCGGTCCCTTTTGTTTGACATTTTCTCGGATTATTGTCTCCGCATTATGACCTTTCACCAGTATTCATCTCGTTATTTTTGGGGTAGAAGCTCAGATCTGTGCATGTCGTGTGAAGATGAATTCTTATTTCTGATGAAAATCATTTTTTTCACTTTTAATCTCATCTTGAATTGACTCAATGACGCTTGGTTACATCGTTGTTTGTGGGTTATGTTAATACGAGACTGACTTAATCAATGCTTCCCTGTGCTTGAAATGCAGATTTCTGTTTTGAGTTTCCGGAATTTTGTGATTTGACCGTGAATTTTCAGCGAGGGTGGTTCAGTGTTATCTGAAGAACTCTGTGTTGGAGCTGTACACTTTGGGGGTTTAAGGTGGTGGGAGTGTTCTTTTCATCTCTATTCGTTATTGTTTTATGGTAATGCTGTTATATAGAGTATAGATACAGTTGATCGTCTGCTATGACTGTAAGGACTTGAAATTCACTTTGGCTTATGTTATTGGGACTGAGAACATGATTGGGAGGAAAAACATGGGGCGGGTTTCGCCGCTACTTTTGGTGCTTCTGGCACTTGGATTTTCCTTTGCAACATATAATTTGTTGACCATGATAATGCACAACAAGGCATTCAATTCGGCAAGGTGGGCAGTAGATGATGCAGAATTATCTGACCAAATGGCTGGGGAGAGGACACTTGGGAACTCAAATTCAAAGTTTCATGTTGCTCTTACTGCTACTGATGCTCCTTATAGCCAGTGGCAGTGTAGGATTATGTACTATTGGTATAAGAAGGTAAGAGATATGCCCGGGTCAGAGATGGGAAAGTTTACACGAGTTCTACATTCAGGAAATCCTGACAATTTAATGGAGGAGATTCCAACCTTTGTTGTCGATCCGCTTCCTGAAGGTCTAGATCGGGTAAACATCCTCTTCCTTTACCTATTAAGTTTTTTGTTCCAGTTCTCACATGCGTGTTTCTCAATTTAAAGCTAGGTGGTGTTTTTATAAGACTTTAACCTCGTAAAAATGGCTATTGCGTTATTAGTTGTTGATGAGTTTTCTATTCATGTTAATCTGTTGTTGCTTTCAGTCTTGAGTTTATTTGTACGTTCATATATTGTATTAGACTTTTTTGGTAACGATTTCGGCCATACTCTGTAGAGCTTGTGTTGAAAAGTCTATTAAGGATCCAAAAAAAGCATCATTAAGGAACTGTTGTGTTTGTATAGAATATGATAGATGACTTGTACAAAGCGGTTTGTTTACTTGTTACTAGTTTGAATAGGAAGGACACAAGCAAAGAGCTTGGGGAAGCAAATGATACCATTTTCAGTAGGGGGAATTTTCCATGCTGAATTTGAAGTTAATAAGCTATAGTTTTGACTTTTGAAGGATTTGGGAAAAAAATGAGAAACATCGTTTCATTACATTTATTTGATTTCTGAAATGTGTTATCCACTTACAAGGAGTACGGTGAAACTGATCTGCACGCTTGGGCCACCTTAAATACTTTTGTAAACTAGTTCTCTGCTCACTTAAGCTGAATCACAACCCGCTAACAACTATTTATCCATATTCTTATATTGAATCTTTGTAATTGATAACAGACAGGTGTTGCTGTATAAAATCACTTCAGTTTTTGCTCATTTATACTGAAGTTTATTGTTTTCCAGAACCTTGACATTTATCATTCAGATTTTTTTTGTGTTATCAGGGCTATATTGTGTTAAACAGACCATGGGCTTTTGTGCAGTGGTTGGAAAAAGCAACCATTGAGGAAGAGTGAGTTCTTTCTACCAGATCTAACTTGTTTACACTCTTTCTGTCATGCAGTCTGAAACTTATTGCTAATGGCTGATGCAGATACATTCTAATGGCAGAGCCTGACCACATATTTGTAAACCCATTGCCTAACTTGGCACAGGGGAATCGTCCAGCAGGATTTCCATTTTTCTACATTAAACCAGCTGAACATGAGCAAATTATTAGGAAGTTTTATCCTGAGGAGAGGGGTCCTGTCACAGACATAGACCCTATTGGAAATTCTCCTGTAATTATAAAAAAGGTACTAATGTGTTCTTATGGTAGCATGCATAAACCAATCCAGTTGAAAATATAATCTCTATTAGAAAATGGAACCTAAGAGGTTTTTAGTTCTTTGTAACCTCCTCTCTTCTTGTCTTTGCAATGATTTTAGTGTTCACTCTTTGGCTGAGCTCTCATAATTGTTCTCTATTTCAGTCCATTCTGATGGACATTTCACCTACATGGTTGAATATTTCTTTAAGAATGAAAGATGACCCAGCAACTGACAAGGCATTTGGATGGGTGCTAGAAATGTAAGAAGGAATGGTTAATTACTTTGGTTTTGGCTAATTACTTTGGATTTTCAGCTGGCTGATGTGTGCTTTTAACTTTTCTAAAATGTCTGTTCAACTCAGGTATGCATATGCTGTAGCATCAGCATTACACGGGGTGCAGCATACACTTCGTAAAGACTTCATGTTACAGGTTTCCGCAATGATGGATCTTTTCTAACCTTTACAGTGAACTTCGTTTGCAAATTGATATATTCTATGCATCTTTTTCCATGTTTCAGCCACCATGGGATCTAGAAGTAGGGAAAAAGTTTATCATCCATTACACATATGGATGTGATTACAATTTAAAGGTAAAATGATCTTTCTCCTCTCTCTCTCTCTCTCTCTCTCTCTCTCTCTCTCTCTCTCTCTCTCTCTCTCTCTCTCTCTCTCTCTCTCTCTCTCTCATTTCAATGTTTATTTTATTTGTCAAGGTAAAGTTTCTCTTTTAATGATCTAATTTTATGTTATTAATTTGGTTTTTTATTATCCTGAAAAAAATATAGTTTATATGATATGATTTACTCAGAAGTGTGTTTCTTGAATAAGTTGTATTAACAGCTTTTATGTTCTTAAATTATGATAACACAGGCAGAATTGACATATGGGAAGATTGGAGAATGGCGTTTTGATAAGAGATCTTATCTTAGTGGACCTCCACCAAGAAACCTCTCTCTACCTCCACCAGGAGTTCCTGAAAGTGTGGTATGTCCATTGATTTGGCTTCATTTGTCCAGAGTCCATTATGAAAGCATTGATGGGAGTGAACTTGAAGTAACACTATGTTTTTTCGTTTGAGAAAGATGCTAACACTATGCTTGAAGTAAATAGTTTCACAAAAGAAATGTTAAATTCATTTGCAAATCAACATTCTCTTATTTCTAAATTGTTCCAAGGTAAAGAACTGATCTTGAACTGAATTTCATATGGAAGTGAGTAGCTTTATTTCAGCCCTGTGGAATTTCACAGAATTTGAAAATGAACTTCAGGGTTTGTCTCTAGTCAGTAAATAGGCTTTTGTTTCCACTATTGTCTCTGTCTTTCTGAATACAGAGGACTGATTCAATTGAATTCCGTAACATATTTTGAATTTCAATTATTTACAAATGAAATGAAATTTCATGTAATTCTTCATGCATTGAAAGGCTTGATTGCATTATTCTGGTCATCTTCCTCACTTGGGGATATTAAATTACTTGGTTTTCAGTCTAACATAGAAACAGTCTTTTTGGCATATTCATTGGTTCTGTATACCAGTTCAGTTCATGTCATCTCTAACATTTTAGTAGGAAATGTCTCTACAAGATTGAATTTCGCATAGAATCGTTTAACCTTTGTGGCCATGGATTTGATGTGCATATATAGGGTGCTGAGTTGGAAATTCTCTTGAAAGTCATATTACTTTTGAATGAGCTCTTCAAAGTTATATTTATTCTGCAACTGTGGATCCTATGATTTTGTATTGATTAGTGCGAGTTGTATATAGTATCCTAAGTTATTGTGGCTTGTCTCCTCTCAAGGCATATCAAAATCAGTTCAGAGTCTTGACTTCTCCCACTGGATTCATTGTTAGTATACTTGATTAAAGTACTTGAGTCATCTTCAACTACTTCATAACTTGTCAATGTGATGGGGACTGTGCGTGTAAATGAATGGGAAGATTATTAATGTCTTCATTACGTGTCATTCTTACTGTTACCGGTCTTTTCAATTTGTTATGGCTATGGTTGAGAAAGAAATTTAGTGGAGTCTTCTTTCAAGTTGGTAACTGCACTGAAATTGCTTATAGGTGAGACTTGTGACAATGGTGAACGAAGCGACAGCTAATATACCCAGGTGGGACACGCTGAACCATGGCTGAGATTGGAAGTAAGAATATTAGTCACAGATGCTTTTGTTAATTGGAATGCTGCTCCAGCAGCCTCATTCATGGAGTGTTACCAATAATTGTCACATGTAATCAAAGAGCGGTATAGATATAGAATCAAAGGTCTTCTTCACAGGTCAGATAAGAGATGCTTCGATTTTCATAACTTCATAAAGTATTGAGTTTCTCTAAATTTTTTTACATGTATATCTATCTCTTACATTTGGAGTATATAGTTAAAGATTTTCTGGTTCATATTTTGGACCTGTAAATCAAAATCCATTGTTGCCACGGCTTTTAAGTATTCTTTCTGATCAGGAAATAATTTTTGCCAAAAGCTTCCTTGTATTGTTGACCTACTTGAGTTGCCAAATGTAAGCATTTGACGCCGTTCGCCTTTGCTATATATGATTTTTTCCCTATCTGAGATCACAACTCAGGAAGTAAACAAATTTTCCCATATATGCTTTTGATGAAGTGATTGTTTGATATCTAAGAGCACACAACTCTTATATGAATAATTCTTTTATGCTATGCTTGGAAGTGTAAAACTCTTATATGAATATTCTTTTATGCTATGCTTGATTTTGGGTCAAGTAAAAAGATGAAATGTTTTAGTAACCAATGCTTACAAGTAATATTGTGATGATGAGTTTGAGTAACATTCATCTTAATCGGTATTGCAATATGTCCAAAGGAAGTCCAAACCTTTTGAAGTTTTAAAATCAACCATATGACTATTATATTTGCTTAATCAATATAGCCCTGCAGCTTAATATGTTTACGTCATAATAATTTTCATTCAACTTTCTATTTCTTTCTTTGATTTTCATTCAACTTTCTATTTCTTTCTTTGATTTCCATCGAAACCTTACTAGTTGCAACATATACACCTCGTATGTCTCTAAAACATGCACCAATTAACTAATCCATTAGGTATCTTCCTTCTCATGGATGGATAGTTGTAGTTTTCGAGGGTCTTGTAGTCAGAGAAGGTCTCATTTGAACAATCTGTTCTCCGTCAACTCCCATTCTCTGAGCATAAAGTGCAGCATCAAAGAAGCGTTTCACTGCATCTTTCATGTAAGCTTTCCCTTCCCTGACAGTCATATCCTTCCCCAAGTTTGCCGCATAAGTCGTCAGGATATTTTCTCCTTTCATTACCGCTGCCAGCTGCAGTAGCTCCTGCTGAAATTCTGTGAGCTTGGCATCTTCATTGGCCTCTGTCTTCCTGATCCTTACAGGCTCTGGAAGTTGCACTGTTCATTATAAACATATCCAAGTTAACTCAGCGATGAAAGAAACCCTGTATATAGATTTTCTGGAAAATGAAATTTTAGACAGATCTTTCCTGATAAATGAATTAAGTTTAAGGGAAGCGACCTGGACAATCAGTTCTGGGTTCAGTCCTGGTTTGCACAATGCCTTCGAATGTGCCAGCCCATTCATCTCTCTTTGTGAGGAAGGTTGGCAGGTTGTAGAGCTTTTTCACTGTTGCCGGAATTGATGAGTGCTCATATTCCGATGTTGGAAATGGCGACCCATTAGTTCCATGGACAACTGCAACATTACAACACACTGTGAGGTTCTGTTTGTGGATTTTACAATAAAAGGGAAGGAATCATATGGTAAATACATGCATTATATTCAAAGAAGTTTTTCCTGGAAGAAAGAAAGAAGACCAACTGTAGTTCAGAACTTCAAAGATATTGACTTAGTGACCATCATTTTTGTCAGAAAGGGGAAAGTAGAAGAGATCCCTTTTCTTTGTCCATAACAGAAATCTAAACTTTATCAAATTAAGTGAATAAAAAGTGCAGGTTAATTTTTGAAAAAGAGAAAAAGTTCCCACATTTCAATTCTAGTATTTTGTGACTTGTGTTAAGGGAAGTTGGAAAGAAAGTTTTTTTTTTTTTTTGTCCTATCTCTTTATTTCTGTTTCAACTTTTTGATAGACTCCCCAGAACTCACTTTTCTGGTTATCTTGTAACCATTCATAAGACACCAGGTAAGCTGAACTTTTAATGGCACATGATGACCCTTTGGAAGGACAGTGAGCCATGTAAATTACCATATCCCCAACCAGACTCTTTTAATTTTCTCAAATGTCGGTTGAGAAAAATAATAACTCAAGAGGCATATTGCCACCTCTTGCTGACTTCCTTGTCCATTAAAGTAAGTACCATTGGCTTCCTTTCCTTTCCTTTTGAAAATCGAGAAACCAGACAAAATTTTGTGGAGGGGAGGTGGGGTTTTTGTCGGTCTTGTCTTCTTCTCCTTCACCCTTTTGGGTAGAGGAAGAGATGACTTCTCCATCCTTGCCATTAATGAATCTATTAATTTCCAAATAAATGAAATGGCAACCATATTTCAATCAATCTAAAACCCAAGTTGGAATAAACTAGAAAGAATTTTGTTCTGAAAATTAAACTTAATTTAATTAAAAAATCCATGAAAAACTCTTAGCAGATTATCACAGATCTCAAAATTTAAACTAAGATAAATAAATAAATTTTATAAAAATTCTTAATTTGACAAAAAAAAAAATAGATATTTTTTAAAATGTAAATCAATTATCAAAAAAATTGTATTGCTATCTTCTTTCAGTAGTGTTTCATGTTGATCCAGAATGCACATGCAATAGCATATGCATACTTCAATGGAGATGGTGGAGCTGATTCAATAAGTTTAATTTAAAAAAATTTAAATTAATTTAGTTACTTACCTGTTCCTTTCTCAATCCAAGGGGAAACCGCGATGGTAGGAACCCTAACCCCCAATCGATCAAACTTGAACAGGAACGGTTCCGGTCCGACAATTCCATCCGGGCTGGGAACCTCATGGACCGGTGTCGGCACGTGATCGTAGAATCCGCCGTGCTCGTCGTACGTGATAATGAACAACGTCTGGTTCCATTGCGGACTCGCTCTCAGCGTCTCGTACACCTCCTTCACGAACATCTGTCCCTGGTACACATCGTGCGACGGGTGATCGTCGTTCGCCGGCTCCTGTTTGGAGTCCGTGTACCGCTGCTCCACCACAACATAGCCCGGCAGCTTCCCCTGTTCCGCGTGCTTCTTAAACGTACTATAGAAATGGAATTTGTTGAAGTACTTGAGCTTCCTTAGGTTCCTGTAAAACAGAGTCGCCGGAATATTCTGCCAGTATATTCCGAAGGAGATTCCGGCATCGTAGAGGTTATCGAAGATCGTTCTCTGAGGATATCCCTTGGCCAGCAGTGCGGGAATGTTGCTCGTCGCTCCGGCGGATGTTCCCGAGTGTACAAAGAGACGATTCGGTTGGGTGGACGACGGCACAGAAGCAAACCATCTAGAAATGCATGGCAGTAATTATTTTATTACTCGGAAAATAATAGAAACTCACACGTAAAAAAAAAAATTAACATTTTACTTGAGTAAAATTATTATTAAATTATTATTATTATTTTTTTAATTTTTCATGTGAATTTCACTATTAAAGATATTTTTTGGGAAATAATATAAAATAATAAATCACATAGTTAATAATGAAAATTAAAAAAAAAAAGTATATAGATATTTTATAGTCTTTTCAATTGACAGACACACAATGTCTTATATATATATATATAAATGGAAAAAAATAATTGGATTCAATTATTAGAAAAATATCCAACAAAAAGATGTACAATGACTATCTTGATATTAACAGAAAAATATATTTTTAGAGCTATATATTTATAAAAAAAAAAATGATTTAATTAATAAAGAAAATTATATATTTATATTTATAATTAAATGAAAATAAAATTATTTTATATGAGAAAAATAAAAAATAAAAGAACGAAGAAGAAGAAGAAGAAGAAGAAGGGAGTACCTATCAAAGACAGCGAATTCAGAGACAAGAGTCTGATAGACAGGGACCATTTGAGGATGGAAGCCATTCATGACGTCCTCCGACATGTTAAACGAAGGGTCCATTGAGTAAGCCTGTTGGGCGAACCCGTTCATGGGCGGAGGATCAGCAGAGGTGTCGTTGGATCCGAATATCTGCTCTCTGATTGCCTGGAACGAGTGACCCGGATCCGGGTCTACATAGTGTGACTGGTCCTTGAAGAAGAACTTTCGGGAGGAAGGATCCCCTGCCGACAACGTGTTGAATTCGGAGCCATCGACGCCGTTGATTTCCGGGTTTAGCTTTTTCATCCACCCCAACATGTGATCGAACGACCGGTTTTCCATCACCAGAACCACCACGGTTTTGATCGGACTTGCATTGGCTCCGTCGTAGTGGTGGAGGAGAACCAGGAGGAGGAAGAAAATGGTGGCGGTGAGCTGCTGGTGACGACGCATTGGTTTGTGCCGGGGGGGGGTTTTGCTCGTGTGCTCTTCTGCTGCGTTTTCTTGCTCTTTTAGAGCATGTATATATATGGATATATATAAAAAGATATCTGCGTGTTATATGTGTATATACATGTATGTGATATATATATATATATATATATATATATATAGAGGCATACACCATTACTTGCAAAACCGGGTGCGACTCGTCTTTTTCTGCCACTTACATTTATGGACCACCCATAACTTTTTCTGTATCCTTTAAATATATTTTTCGACAATTAATTATAATTTATTTCTATTAAAAATACATAATAAATTATATATTATGAATTTTTATATAATTTTTAATTTAACTCAATTATTTAACAATGTCTCCGGTGATAATTAAATGAATGTATGATTAGTGGCAAAGTCAGTTTCTGTTGACTGGGAGACCCATTTCTTCATTTCTTCATTTCACACCCTCAGCTTGCTCGCTAATTCAATATATATATACACACACACATACATACATATACATACATATGTATAACCAGTTTAAAAAAAATAAAATAAAAGATATATAATTAAAATCATTAAGGAGAAGTGAGTTGTTGCTCAATTTTATCAGTTACAAACTAAACTATCAATTGCAATCAAACCATTACAGCAAATTTAATTAATTAAAAATCAACTTAAATTAATTTTTACAAACCATTTAGAAGGCTTTTGATATGCACTCCCCCGCTTTTTCTTTTGACCTAATTATCTCTTTAGTTTGGAAAATAAAATCATTACTATGGGAAATAGCTTTGCTTATACTGTTGGTGTTATACGTAATTGTAGCCATATATTTTGGCTAGTGACGCCAAGTTAGTGTGTGGTTGGTTGTGTACACGCGTAGTCGAAGTTGCCAATCAATTATTGGATTAGCAAGTGGGTTCGTTATAAATTTATATTACCCTTTTTTTTTTTTTTTTTTTTGAGTGAAGTTACAAATATATATATATATATATATATACACACACGCATACGTATAGGGGTGTGAATGTGCGTGCGTATATAATTACGGATAATTCTATATGTATGGATGAATGAATGCTTGTAAATGAAGAAAGGAGAGGAGAAGAAGGAAAAGAAAGAAAACAATGATTGGAGATGATCTTCTGATAACAAAGTTGTGATGCAATCGGGTAGAATATTCCATTAGGATCCTAATTTTTCTCCATTTAATCCCAAATCTGAATGGATTAGAAAAGAAATAAATAATTTAAGATTTGAAGAGACAACTGAGGGATCCCTTTCTTTTACAAAACTGGAATTTTTCTTTCTTAATCTGAAAATCACTTGCTGAGATTATGACTTTAAACGTCGACAGAACGAAACGGTGACGTTTATCGAGTAATTTAGTAAGTACTTAAAGAATTTTTATCGGTAAAACTACGACATCAATAACCAATGTTATTAAATCCAGACCAGAGTAGGAATTCACCCATCAGAATAAATTGACATCCCAACTCTTGAATGTTGCTGTGAAATTCTTTTCCCTTTATTATACAAATCAACATTCAGAGCCAAAAGATCAGGGTACCTCGAAAACCATCTACTCTATCGATCGAGACCCGTAAAAGAATCCAAACCCTAAATCCGTGGTCCTTGACGCAAGATAGAACACCACAATATGTAAGCTTCATTTATTTGGATTATCCTTCCGCAATCAATTCCTTTTTTGTAACATACCAGAAACACAATGAGAATAAACCTGTCCAACTAAATCAGAAATAACAATATACCCAACCCAGATAGATAATTGCAATGGTGTAATTATCCAAAAGATGACATTTCCAATAGAAAAACTGTATTTCCAAATTATTTCATGACACTTTGTCTAAGGTTTTTAAGTCTATCCAGACTTACAACACTTGGAAATACGATTAGTTTTCATGTCCAATAACATCACCCAACATACTGAATAAGAAAAGATTAACATAACCAGCCTTTAGACCCAGACAACAAAACCATACACAAACTTGTGACTCCGAAATGACACTAGAACCCACCATTTCTATATAATAATCAGGTAAACCGGACAACGCCTATCAACCTTCCTCCCGAGCCCTGAAGCTGTGGCAGAGAACTGGCTGAGAACACCAAATATTTTTTTTATCAGCTCCTAACTGATACCAGGTAACAGCAATTCCAACAGCTAGATTATGTGAAGTTTTTTTTTTAAGTAGCACAGCGAGTACACCACCCTTTATTCCACCAATTCCTCGAGACATAAGCCTCAAAGACCAACTGATGATCTTATTAACAACTTCTATCTCCATTCAAGTAAGCAGATAAGGCATTACTCCCTCACAAATTTCACTTCAGACATTGTGGCAACATCCTTTCCACTGGCAGGCCACCTCAGCAAAATCTATATAAGATGAGACCCAACATAAGTACTGTTCACTACAAATGCATCTAACAGTTAAATAAACAATAAAAAAACATGAAATGCATGTAACTGAAGCAATATAGGACCCCTGATAAAATATTTTTCATATCACCTTGTCATCTATATAATTTCATAAATTTGTCATCTACAGCCTTGAGATAGCATCCCTTTCACACATAAGATTCACAATGAAAGAAGAAATATCAGCTACAATAATATCAACCAATTTCAACTAGGAGATACAGACAAACTGATGTAGCACAGCATGTTATAGTTTAGGGAGATAAGAAAAACAGAGAAAATAAAAGATAAATCTAGTCCACAATCACAAAGATCAGCAACAACCACAATGATAAGATTTTCATAATCACAATCACAAGATTGTTGGACACTCAAATTGATGAGAGAAAATCAATAATTTTATTTATAAGCAGCCTAATTAGTAATGATAAAACAAAAAAGTATTTATAGGGCGTCTAAAATAGGCCTAATATGACCATTATTCTTATATACCAAAACAATAACAATATAAGACTCTTGCCAAAACAATAAAATAATAAAACAAAACAACCCTATACTAATAAGTTTTATAACACTTACTTTAGGAAGACATCCCAATTCCAATTAAAATATTTTCTCACAAAAAGACGAACTGATCCTACATCAACCCTACAAATCAAAATAGCCAAAGAAATTACCACAATATTAAGAACGTCCATCACTGTATAAACCTCAATCTGACCATCAATGATCAGTCAATTGATCCAACAATCACACAAGCACCAAGGAAAACAAACTGATTAGATTAATACTTTGCAGCATAGTTGTTCTATGACTACAGAGATCACTGCCTTTTGTTGGTAAAGGGAAAGGCTGAAGGATAAATATAAAAATAATACATATATATATAAATTGACATGTGAATGAATGCAGACACAGATGCATGGGCAAATATATATACTAATACACACAAGAAAGAGAGTCGAAAGATACTCGTTCAGTAGCAAGTGCCTGCAGGAAGCCAGTGCCACCCATGCTCCAACAAAGACTCAACAAAGAATAAGGCTTCATAGTTGGAGTTTGAATTAGGTAGCAAAAGGATCAGTACATTCACCAGATCATTCTCAAGAACCTAAATGAACAGAAAAGGCTAATTTCAGACTTTTTCCAAGGAAAGAAATCAGAACCATTAAAATTTCATAGACCCAAATAATTATCATACCTTCCATTCTTTCACTGACCTCACACGAAATACCGACCAGTCCAAATAGACTGTCCCTGATATTGCTCTGGCATTGTCGCAAACTGCTGGTTTTCATTGATGAGTTGCTTTTGCTTTTGCTGCAGCTGCTGCTGCTCACGCTGTAGTTTTAGATGCTCAAGATTCTGATAATCCTGCCATCCTTTCTGCATTTCTGCTTGAAGCTGCATGGGTGGAACTTGTTTCCCAGGAAAGGGAAAGTTGACTGTCCCATTTAAGCCATTGTTATTACCAACAAACTGAGGATTGGCAATATATGGATAACCGAGGGAAGTAGTGAACCCAGAGCCCTTCATTGATGAGGGCTGATACCCATCCAACCAACTATAATCATCCATAAGTGGATTATCACTCATCAGATCTGAACCAGAAATAGGCTCAGTAACTTGTTTTGGCGGAACAGGGTTGAAACCAGGAGGAGGACCAAGGTGTCTACCGGGTCGACTAACTGGACTTTTTCGGGAGCCTGTTGACAATGCTGATGAATTCTTTACAGCCAAGTTCTCTGCAATAACTCCCAAAGAGGCAACTGCATCAATTTTAGATGGTATCACAGCTTCAGGAACTCTTGAATGACCATATAACAAGCCACTAGTATTAGTACTGAAGGATTGGTGGGTGGAGATTGAGCGTGCAGGAAGATGGGAAATGCCCATGTTTCCTGGCATCTCGTGCTTAGCTACATGTCCATTCTCCATGAGCTTTAGACCTGTCAAACTAGTTGAAAGAGAAATTTCTTCTTCCGGTAACCATTTTAAAGGATGTGGTGATTTAACTGGATGCAAATTCTGGGGAAGAACATTGCCAACTGATAAAGGTATTTGCGTAGTTGCATGACTTACATCCAAAGAAACCTGTGGGTGCTGATGGAGATTTTCAAGAGGAGCTGGCAGAGAGCTACTATAACATTGTGGATCGCCTGCAGAAATACTATGGTCAAGCTTCTTCAAGCTGTCATAAGGTGCATGTTTTGGACTAAATGCTTCGTTTCTCTTCTCAGTCACTATTGGCTTAAAAACAATCACCTCGTCCTCATCTTCCCCATCCAAGTAAGGCAGTAGATTTTGTTGTACAAGTCCCAAATTCATGGTCTTCTTGGTCTGGGTCTCCTGCATTGTGCCATTTGCTTCTAATCGACTCGAATGGGCATTAACCTCGATGTCCTCCAGAGACTCAACACCAACTACGAATTTCTTTAACCTCGAATCAAAACACACAGTTTTACAATCAATCTTTATCACATTGGCTAAAGCTTTCCCTGCTGCGAGAATCCTTTTGATACGAGCCTTCTTTTCCTTGTTTCCATCATTGCCAAAGGAATGCTTCCTTGAGAAATCCAATATGGTCTGCGCAGGAAGGAGCGGCAAAAACCCTCTTAATTCAAAGTCTTCTGATAATGCAAGACGATTTTCTGTTTCCCCCTCTTCATACCTGCTCATGTGGAAAAAGCAACTCTCATCTTCATCATCTTCAACAAATCCATGTCCAGTTGATAAAATCTTGTTCAAGAAAGCTATGCAATAATTCCAAAAACTTGATCTAACAGCAGCTTGTTTCTCATCAGCATCACTGCCTGCTACAACATCTGGACAACAAGCCAACCATTCGACAAAAACTAGAATTCCAGGTAGCAGATAACTTGAAGAAGGATCATGCAGCTGAACACATCTGTTTATTATATGCCCCATCAACTCAAAAATTGCAGTGAATGCATTCTGAAGAAGAACGGCACGCTGCACAATTTCTGCATATGTCTGACCTTCAGTCTCCCTTTTTGAATTATGAACTGTAAATATAAGTATGGACACAAGCCTAACAATTGCAACTGAACTCTCAACAGTATCAGCACCAAAATTCAGCTCTTCCTCTGGCCCTGAAGAAAGAAACTCACTCAAGCCACTGCTAACTGAAGTAAGAACTTCAGAAAATGTCTCTAGGCTGAAAAAGAAATTTTATGTTAGTTGCGTCACACGATGTCATCCATATGATCTAACAAATTTAGTTCATAAAATCAATAAGATACCTTGTACGTGTAAAAAGAATGCCATTTAGTCTGACAAATCTAATGCAAAACGTTTTGTACATCTCAGGTGCATTAGATGCTGTTTCCTTCTCAAGACCAGTTTCCTTGTTGGCATCTTTTGATACAAGTTTTACTTCCCCTTTCCCCCTTCCTTTACTAGTGAATCTCACAGGTGACTCCTTAATTATAGAAGCCTTACTTTCCCCAGGCAGCTGAGAGTAACTCTGACGGTTCTGCGGGGAAAAAAAAAAAAGCAAAAGATTAACCGAACATGTTCTCAAAGCTAGAAGAAAATGACTCCTGTAGTATAATAAACACTAATATTGGACATAGACAACCAGGCACTCATAGATTTTTTGTTTCCAAATAGCTCAATTCACTTCAATTATATGCTCATTATTCTGAGGAAAAGGCAGTCATTATATACTCATAATTACTTCTAGAATACACCTGGATGAAGCTAAAAGATGTCAGTTATTTGAATGGAGTAACAAAAGATAGATATATTAACAGACATGCTCTCTCCACATGACTACTGCCTTAAACTTGTTTTTCTTTTTTCTTTTTTTAATGAAAAGAGAAAACTTGTAATTAAAAGCAGTTACATCTGCCAATCTCTAGTAAACATGAAAAAAATTACTCTTGGGTGTCATGAAGAGCAAAACAAGTCTAATAAAAAGCCCAAAAAAAAAAAAACAACAAATTAGTAGCACAGCCAGTAGAACATAAGAAAAAGTAAATTTCAGCATAAGCCATGCAGGTAAGGGAAGGTAATCAGAGAAACGGAACCTTTTCAAATGCGACAATTAGATTATCGCGAGCAGTTGAGAATGGGCTCTCCACTGCCAAACTTCGAAAGTAGCGATAGACAGCCACCAGTTCATCCCCCGAATATGAAGCCAGTATTGCAAGCTGAAACAAGAAAATCTCTTCAAACCGAAGGCAAAACATGCAAATGTACATAATGATGGGATTTGAATGTCACTAAGGGAGGGTGAGAAAAAGGACAAGAACAACAAACCTGGTGATGAGGGTTGCCACTTGATGGCCAAAGTGAGGCTGCTTGCAAATAGTAGCTTGAGGCTGCAGCATATTCACGGGTTTTGGAATCCCCCTCCCCGTATAATCCTTTATACCGTGCTAGATCACCCAAGTATATCAAGCAGCGATGACAAGATACCAAACCTTTCTTCACCTCAGTGGATTTCTTCCCATCTTTGTCCATGACAATTTGAGTCTCTGAGTCCTCAGAAAAATAGCCCAGAGGAAGGCCATACTTCGCCCTGATTTTCAGAATCAGATCATGATAAAATCCAGTAGCTTCCGAGAGGAAGGTTTTAAACTGCATTCGTATTTTAGTAACTTGCTCAGGTCGTGCAGGGCCTTTCGCACTCTGAGTTGCAGTTGAGCCAGTGGAAGATAAAGCAGCACTATAGTGTGTTCGAAATTCCTCAATTCGCTTGTAATGCAACTGCCACAAAGCATATTCAATGTTGTGCTGCTCAGAAAAAGCATGATCTTCAAGAATTATTGCTTCATAATTCTCACGTATTTGTTGCCAGGCACTAGGATCTGATGGAATGCGTGCCTGGGCCGACTTCCGACGCTTATTTTCCAACTCAATAGCCTATATAAAGGTCAAGTGTCAAAAAGGGCATGGGAAAATTATCTTAAACTTAGTTCTAAGAAAGCATTTTCAACCAAATGATGTTTGTCTTTATCACTTCAGATACGATAATCTCCAAATAACAGAAAAAGGAGATAAAAGCATTTTCAACCAAACGATGTTTGTCTTTATCACTTCAGATACGAGAATCTCCAAATAACAGAAAAAGGAGATAAAAGCATTTTCAACCAAACGATGTTTGTCTTATATCACTTCAGATACGAGAATCTCCAAATAACAGAAAAAGGAGATACCTTCTTATAGAGACGTTGCACGCGCTCCTGTAAAGAAGGAGCAGACATCTTATCCATCTGCACAATCATCATCCATCCAATATATTGGACAAGCTTCAAGTTTCATCAATCTTCCCAAAAAAGTGGCACTAAATTATTATCAGAAAACAAATAAGAAACACAGAAATCTGCAAGACAATAGCAAAGGAGTCCACTAAGTACTCCAAACTGAACAAGTTCTAAGCCACTCCTAATCTGTCAAAAACTACCATCAAAATGAGATGTAACTGCTCATTAGTTTAAGGATGCCCAAGATTATCCAAGTAAAAATATATAGAAAGCTAATTAAACTCACACTTGCGCTAATTAAACTCACACTTGCACATTTTAATCAATACCACTTGCACAAGGTCACCTTTATTTTAAGAGAAACCTTACAATATATTTTACAAGCCAAATGTTACCTACCTGAGAAATGTCAGTTCTTCCCACTCAAAACCATAATCTTGTTATGGCATAACCATGCTAAGTTTTATAGTGATCACTTAATAAATTTTTTCTGCAACATGATTCCTCGAATTAAAGAACCATCACCCCATAATGCATGCTTCAAATACAAACGGAAAACCTTTTTCAGAACTTACGTATCCCATCGTCATTACAGCATAAGCACAAACCACCACAAGAAAAGACACGGAAACAACATTTAACAAAATTAAAAATAAAAATAAAAACAAATTTTGTAAATTTCAGACAAAAGATATGCATTTATTACTTATTTATACGGGTTTGATGCTAAATCTAACAATCCAATAAAATCAGAAAGCTTATAGAATTAACAGAACTGTAATATGACATTTTGGACAAGCAGAAACCAGAAGAACATACTGAAAAATACCTTAACAATTTATAAAAGGTAAATACTTTTATCATGAAAAAATTGGAAACAAACACACGAAACAAAAAGCACCTCCGAATCCAGCCGATCATACAAAAACCCTCTTGCTACTATCAGAAAAAAGCACTAATCTTATCTTTTTTTCCCCCGACAGCGGCAATCCGATAAAACGCGTATTCAGCTCAACTTGGTTTCGTCAAAACCCAAATAAAACATTCTTTAATTCCTTCTAACATCATTCTTGCCAATTAACCAAAAACTAACAAGGCAACAAAATTCGGGAAAATTAAACATGATGAAATTTAAATAAATAAAAAAAATCACATATACAGTTATTTATAGTTTAAAAGAACTGAAGGACAAACACGAAATAAAAATAATAGATTCGATCATTAGATCAACCAAACCAAAACAGCCCCAGCCAATTTTTAACAACGAAAAGAAAAGGACCGAAAAATTAACGAAGGCCGGCAGACTTGTGGAACAATAAGCAAAGATCAAGAATCAAAGGAATTTGAAGGAGACTCACCTGTCTAAGCAGATCTACAAAGGAATCGTCGGATCAGATCATCGGAGAAACAAAGAATGGAAAGAGTAGGAAAATTAGGGTTTGTTTGGTAGGGGTGAGAGAAGGAAATATAAAGAGAGAAGGAGAGGAGTTTTATTCCGATATGAGATAGGCTTGCGAAAGTTCAACGTGTTTTCTCCTTTCTCCTTTTCTTTTGGTTTTTGGTTTCAGGCGGCGACTCTGGAATGAAGTGACGCCGTTTTGTATTCCAACCTCCAATTACCTTTTTTCTCTAATTTTCCGTGCCCTAATTCACGCGTTTTGGGTGATGTAGACACCACGCTCTTCCCGTCCAGGGCTTGAGCCAGTGGCTCATCTTAGCCGAGTGTTTATCTCTATTTAGGAAACTTGAGAATCCATCTCTCCACACAAAAAAGGAAACTTGAGAATCCGTCTTCTTGTAACAACTGGCAAACAATCCTCCTACTTTACAGTTTTATAAAAAGTAAATAACTAATATATAATTTAAAATGTTATAAATATACGTATGCAATATTACTGTTAAAAAATTTGATTATTTATTAATAAAATTTGAATAGGAATTTTTATAAAATTATTGATAATAATAAATTTTCGAGTAAATTTCGCACAAATTTTGAATTTATTTAAAATATAACCATAAAATTTTGAGAACGTAATCTCAATAAAAGATAAAACATATATGGAATGTGCATATTTCATTATTTATAAGAGTAGTACTTAGCTGCTACAAATAAATTAAAAATTATATGATGTTCTTTTTTCTTCTTATTTTCTTGCTATAAAATAAAAATTCTAAATGATATCTTATAATTAATCAATCTACAACTATTTTTGTAAATTATATTTTTCAATCAAATATATAAAATTTATCTTCTTTAATATTTTTACATAAGTTGTCTCGGTATTCATCTCCGTTAATTTTGTATAAAATTTAGGGAATAAATTTTGAATTTCATTTGTATGTTTTAAAAGTAACTTTATAATCAAACGAATAAAATAAAATATATTTTTTAAGAAAATCGTGATAGATTTCAACATAAAAATTTATATTTAAGATCTTAAATATAAAAATTTGAACATTTTTTTGATTAAAATCTTAATATAAATTTACGAATAAGATCTCCAAAAAAGGGCCTAAAGGATCAATGCCAGAATCAAATACCTAATCAGAATTCAGAAATCATATTTACAAAACCCATAAACTCATGTCTGATTTGTGTTGAAATATTAGCAGGCAAACAAATGGATACAAAAAGTTCATGCAAGCTGACCAGCACAAATTACTTACAAGATTGACTCGTCAGAAAGAATTGAGGTTATTATGTCCCTCGAAAGATGATTGTACAACACATACCTCCATCCAACAACTACTATAGACACAATAATAGCACTTTGCTTACAGGTTCGGTGACAAAAATGGATCAGAGTCAGGGAGGAAGGGCACACCACCATGGCGAATTCAATCACATTCTCACTAAGGAAAAGACAGAGAAGAAAAGAAAAGAGAAAATTCAATAAAATGGAAAAACATTGGGGAGTGACAAGGGCTAAAGAAATACAACTATATGCACAAGAACAACATTCTTCTTGAATGTACAAGAACAACACCGCCATTCTTCTCCTTGAGTTGTGAGCATTGTCATTGATTAGTTCCATGGGGGAGATGACGGTCTGTAGATGAAATCTTGTGAAGATGTTCCGTAGTTTAGATCCAGGTTGTGGAGCTGTTCCATTAGCTGAGAACGTCTTTCCTTAAAGAAATCCAGCCGTGTGGTTAACTCGACCAATGCAGAAGATGCTGCTGATTGGTGTCTTGGATAATCACTCATCTGCAACAAGGAACAAAACTTAAATGCAAAGTCATGCAAGAAAAAAGACAACCAAAAAGGTTCATAAATTTACATAAAATATGCAAATTACCCAAACATCTGTAAGTTGATAGTATATCAACTTCACTTATCCTGTTGCATTTTAGAATCATGCAAAGAATATAACAGAGACAATTATATGTTAAGGACAGGCATAATGTAACACACAAGGTTCTACCTCTACTGCTCTTGAAGTGGATGGAACAGAAGCAGATTCAGCAGCACAGAGGTCATCCATATACATACTTACGGATGCCTCCGTGCTTTTAGCGTCACTCAAGCTTGTTGGGTCCGCAGATTGCTTTCGAGTCGGCTGCCTGCTACTACTGCCAGCTGCCAATCCCTGTCCTCTAATATTCCTCCAATCTGTCCCAAGCAAATTCTCCTGCAGCACCATAGTTTGACTTATATATTTATATATTGGCTATTTAAAAAATATACATACACATTTATATAGAGGCAAAAAAGACTTTCTGGCCGAACAGAGATCATGGAGTAGAGTGATATTCCACATGCTTGTTAAGGAAAGTGATCCTTTTACGACACCCCAGAAAGTTATATAACTTGGAATTCATATGGTGGCTACCACAGAGTTTTCTAGTAAAATGAGGTCTCTATCCAGAAACAAACCAGGCCACAACTAGATAGCTGCCACTTGGTAACGTGGCATCTAGAAGGGTAACAAGGTGCTCTAAATACATAACCGATACATTGCTTTCAAGAAATGTACAACAGCAAAACAAAGTCATAATCTATTTAGAACGCCAATATTTTAACAATGGATGACATGGCAAGGCACTCCTTAGAAAAGGAGGGAAGCCAACAACTTGTTGCCATAAGAAACAGTGAAGAGAAATCGAGTTGTTTAGGAAAGGCACCAAGGGTTGACTACCTTCACACTAATCCTAATAACTAATTATATCATAAAATAAAACTTTAAATCAAATAATAAAATTCCATTCTATCAGCCATGTGGCATCCCTACAGTCATGTATCACTCACTCTAGCAGCTATTTGTCATTAATTGCCGGTAGGCATGTAGCTTATAACAAAAGGTGGGAAGAACAAGAAAGTGAATACTAAATAAAAATGGTTAACAATGAGCTGATTGTGAAAAAGAGGAAAATGAATGATGACCAAACAAAGAGCATTTAGCTCATAACAGGAGGTAAGAAGAACAAGAACGTCACCTTCTGAGAAATGAGGAAGACTGTCGTCATCTTCTGCTTAGGTGCCCTACTGCCTATGAACTCTGGAGCTTGGTGTATGGCTTGGTAGGAATCTGCTGGGTACAGGCTGGTTCGATTGAGAAGGAGATTTGGGCCTGGGGTGGGCCAGGGCTGAAAACTGAAATTGCAAGACTCATTCCCTTGTCTGTTTTTTGGGTTATTTGGAAGGAAAGAAATTTAAAAGCGTTTAACGGGATTATGAATAATACTAGTAAAGTAAGAGAGAGATGGTTTAACTACTTCGATTGTTTTGTGTTGGGGTATGATATCATTAAGGTTAAGGATTTTGGGGATCTCATTGACTCACTAACAAATTTGTAAATGTTTTGTAAAAAGGTGGTACTTCCTCTTCTTTGGTACCTTGCTAATACAAATATTATATTTTTTCTTTCAAAAAAAAAAAGGAAGAACAAGAATGTGGGGACCGAATGAATGGTTAACAATGAAATATCTTTTTGAAATAAAAACAGATTTTGAATATAAATTATCCAAACTAATGGCATCGCCCGGACTTGAAGTTGGAGACGGTTAATAATGAAATGATTGTGAAAAAGAGGAAAGTGAATGATGACCAAGCAAAAAACGAATCACTTTGAGTCGATATCCAGAAATATGTTTCAACAAAATGAGATGGAAAAGGCCAATAAGTTTTTACGACATACCTCAGTTCTTTGTTTCCTCTCATTATTACAGAAAGCAAGAGTTGTATCAAAGTCTTGCTGAAGAAACTTCCTGGAGACATCAAGTACATTTATAAGGCTATAAAATTTTTAAAGAAAAAGAGAAAAGAAAAACATTCATCATAAGGCACCCAGGGGGTACCATCAAGGTAGAAGCATTATAGCAAGTAGAAACTCTATGAACTATATAAAGTAATTTTGGATTTTTTTTAGTAGAAAGGAAGCTTTCACCAAATATCTTAATCATACTAAGGCCATTCTCGGTACACCTTTCGGAAGGTACGTGCTGGTGGTTGCCCAACATGCATTCATTTGTTAAACTAATATAACATGGTTGGATTTTCAGAATCCTAGAGATAAACTTGATCGCCTGTGCACCAACCAAAAGTGAATTAACAGATTTACTCAAAACATGGAGATGAGCTCTTTTCTTTTCTTTTTCTGAAATAGATAACCTCTTTTCTTTTCGAGAAGCAAATTTAGAAGAGGTTTACGTGAACATCCAATTTGAAGCATAAACCAGGAACATGAATTATAGATGCTTTTGAGGAAGCATGTCATTGCATCAAGTAAATGCTGCATGCAATATGTCGGTACAGT